ATGGGTGTTCTTTTTTTTTTTTTAAGAAAAAAAGGCAATTCCAGAAAACAGGAGTGAATGAAGGGTATGGACCTTGCCCTAAGGGACTGGACAAGTTGCTTAGCCTCAGTTTCCATTTTCCTTGGAATAGGATCGTGAGAATGAAATGCAATAATCCGTGTAAGGACTGTGCCCGTTGTGTGGCGCGTGGTAAGAGGACACCTTACTCTCCGTGCGTGCCTTCCTATCACGTGGCTGGTAACCTGCGCCCGCGTGCGGTCCCTGGCAGAACAGGAGCCAGGACGCCGCCACCAACGGCAGGAGTGAACCGGAGCTCCTGGCATTTCACTAGCCCCGAACATCTCTCCTTCCTGTCTGTCTACACGCAAGGCTCAACTCCTTCAAAAAAAGAAAGAAAGAAAAAAACTTCCTCCCACAGGCTCCGTAAGCTTCTATAAGGACACATCACTCGTCCGTGCGAGTCTACTTCCTCTGTCTGTCATTTCTTCTGAGCAGGACCCCGGCTCGGCTCCCTGAGCCGGCACCTGCCACACGGCTGTTTACCGGGGAGCGCTCAGTTAGTGCCCGTCGCCAGCAGAGCTTAGCCTCGTAGAGTTGGAAGACTGAGTATTTCAGGAAAAAGAAAACACAAGGCTTAAGCAAGGCAAAGGAGAGTCTTTCAGGACAGATCACTACTAAAAAAGTGTAACAGTCCCATGCAGCTTTTTACCACGAAACGTGGAAAAGCTAAGGTATTAATAGATTTGGTGCTTGTAATTAAGTCTACAGAGATAGGACATTATGCAAATTAGCAGGTGAAATATACTGGAAACTTTTAGCAGAACCGGGATACCAGGACGGCTGGAAAGTTATAATTTAATAAAATGCAAACACGTAAAGGCAAGTCCTAACGGACTCTGCCGTCTTATTTGAGGAAGTAAATTGGAGAAATGAAGCTGTGAAGGTGGGAGGCTGAGAAACTTCTGGCACACACACCATGACCACACCAAAGCTTTTTTGGGAGTAATGTTATTACAGAGGCCTTCTGGTTACAGATTAAAAAACAAAAAACAAACACTCATGTTACTTTCCCTGTAAGATCTTGCAACATGATTAAAATACTGTACTTCATAAACCAAATTCAGTTCACTTAAATTGTCAGATCTGGATGGGTAAAAGATGCTCACTGCACTGGTCCTTCAGCTTATTAGTAAATCTGAAGCTTTTTATAATAAAACGTTGGAAAGAACTCAGACTATAGTCTGCTGTCCCCATCTCAATGCGGAGCCTAATATGGAGAGGAAAAGACTAGTCGAGCACTTGGGGACGTGTTCACTTTTTTTATTGTTTGTTTTTTGTTCAATTTTTTTTTTTTTGAGACAGAGTCTTGCTCTGTGGCCCGGGCCAGAGTGCCGTGGGGTCAGCCTAGCTCACAGCAACCCCAAACTCTTGAGCTCACGCGATCCTTCTGCCTCAGCCTCCCAAGTAGCTGGGAATACAGGTGCATGCCACCATACTCAGCCATTTTTTCTATTTTAGTAGAGACCAGGTCTTGCTCTTGCTCAGGCTGGTCTTGAACTCCTGACCTCAAGTGATCCTCCTGCCTCCACCTCCCAGAGTGCTAGGATTACAGGCGAGAGCCACTGTGCCCAGCCAGTTTTTGTTCAATATTTTGAACATCTTTTTCCTGAAGGAGGCTCCATCTTTCTTTTACCTTGTGTATGCAGTGGCCCATAACATCGGGTATGTCATTAGTACCAACAAACACTGTAGCTATTCAAGAACTTCAAATACAATAAACACTAAGTGTTGGGTGTTGTGGTAAGTGACCATGTGCTTGGTCTTTGTAGTACAAGGAGAATGCTGTTGACTTATCTTGGGCCCAGACTATGCAGTTTGACCTGTTTTCCAAGGGTGGTGATGAATTAATTCATTTATTAAACACACATTTACTGAACAGGGCACTGTACATTGATAGAGAAATGGCAGAGCACCTGTTCTTATAGAGCTTACAAACCCACTGGTGAGATGCAACATACAAACAGGTAACAATATTCAGATGGTTATGAATGAGAGAGCTACAAAACACAATAGGAGACAGGATCTCCTCTAATTCATTCATTTGGCTACCTCTACAGCATAACAACTTGGGTCAGGGGTGCAGATTGTGGCCATGGAATGGAATTATATTAACTAGTTCACTAGATTGGCCCATGATCCATATATCAGAGACGTGGGCCTATAATTGGTCACTCAGTAAAATCTCAAAAGGTTATGCCAGATGTCACCGGCACAGTAGCAATCTGTATAAATTTGTGGGGGAGAGGGAAAGAGACATTACTCACTCTTGTGGTCCATCATAGCATCAAACCCACCAAGAGAGTATTAAAGTACTACTTGTTGAACTAAAGTCAATCGATCCTTTTTCTCTTTGACTCAGAAGAGATTCCGATCAGGCTAAGAGCTCATCTAACACCAGGACACCATACAAAGAAGACAGGGGACAGGGATACCCTGATTTCCTTCTGGGCACAGGCCGAGTGGTAATCAGTTCAACTAGGGTAGAGAGGGGCTGACTCCCTGACCTACTTTAGAAAGTTTGACGGTTCTGAGTAAGAGCTCATGACTATGGGTGATCCCTGTAAGGCAGTGGTTCTCAACCAGGGTGATTTTTCCCACCAGGGGACATTTGGCAATGTCTGGAGATATTTTTGGTTGTCACACTGGGACAAGGGGTACTGCTGGCATCCAGTGGGAGGAGGCCAGGGATGTGGGTCAGGACCCTGCGATGCAGAGGGCAGTCCTCCTGAGCAAAGAATTGTCCAGCCCCAAATTCAGTAGTGCCGCTGGTGAGAACCTGAGTGAGGGGGCGTGTGTGTCAGTCAGCTCACAGGACAACGGCTGCATTCTTAATTACCTGAAAAGTGAATGCTTTGGGTTGGGCATGATGGCTCACACTGTAACCCTAGCACTGTGGGAGGCCAAGGTGGGAGGATGGTGGGAGGAGGCCAAGAGTTCGAGACTAGCCTGAGCAACATAGCATGACCCTCATCTCTACAAAAAATAGAAAAATTAGCTGGCATGTTAGTGCACATCTGTAGTCCCAACTACTAGGGGGGCTGAGGCAGAAGGATTGTTTGAGTCCAGGAGTTGCAGGTTGCACTGGGCTTGCACTCCAGGCTGGGCAACAGAGCGAGATGTCTTCTCAAAAAAGCAAAAAAATGCTTCAAAGATTAGGGTGTTTGCAGGGTTCCATGCAAACCCTGCATTCTGACTCTTTTACAAAATTTAAGCAAACACCAGTTACAGATGACTTTGGGGTATGAAGAATAGCACAATAATCATGAAACAAACACTTTGCAGAATCAAGGTGAAAAGAACTTAACTGCTACTCATCATCTAGACCAGCACTACTCAGTAAAATACAACACTGTGTGACCCACAAATGCAAGCCTCAGATGTTATTTTTAAATTCCCAGTTAACTACGTAAAGAAAGTAAAAAGAAACAGGCGAAGTTAAGTTTAATAATAGATTCCATTTAACTCAATATATACAAAACACTACATTATAGGCATGAGCCACTGTGCCCGGCCTTTGATTTTGCCTTAAAATGATAGTATTTCAGGGCCAGACCTTTGCTTTTGTATTAAAATGATAGTATTTTGGAGCTGGACGCTGTGGTTCATACCTTTAATTCCAGTGCTTTGGAAGGCTGAGGCTGGAGGATCAAGACCAACCTGGGCAACATAGCAAGACCCTGTCTCTACAAAAACAAACTTAAAAAAATCAGCTCAGTGTGGTGGGATGCCTGTAGTCCCCACAACTTGGGAGGCTGAGGCCAGAGGACCGCTTGAGCCCAGGAGTTTGAGGCTGCAGTGAACTATGATCTTACCACTGCACTCCAACCTGGGTGACAGAGTGAGACCCTGTCCCTTAAAATAAAAAAAATAAAAAAAACGTGCAGAATTTGCCCCAATTTTGATTCTGCATGTCTGGAATGGGAGCCAGCAATCCACATTTTTAACATTTGCTTAGATACAACAATTTATTCTAGATCACTGACTTGTTTGAGAGATACCACGTGCATCTCAGTCCCTTGCAGGCTAGCCCGAAACCACGTTACTACACATGGTTGCCGTTTCTTTGGCAAAGAAGGAATGAAGAATTCCTCCCATGAGAAAGGGCGCATAGCTGTACAGATCCCCAGGAAACCCGAATTTCCCTTCACCACTTATTATGGCGCTATTTCTGTATTGATGTTTTGAAAACTTAGTACACCTACAGGTAATGTTTTCCTGTTTTCAAGAAGTTTTACTTCCTCAATCCTCTGCAAATGTGCTGAGGGAGACTGGGTGTACTGACTAGAGCCCCACACTCTCGAACAGGAAGCATGATCTTGTGACTGAGAAAACGCCACAGAGCTGTACTCAGACGAGTATGACTCCATTTTTATGCTGCAGGTTGTTAGCTAAGGCAATTGTAAGATTGCTGCTAACTCCTCACATTTGCTGCCTGTGTTCTCGGTTTTTGTTTTGTTTTGTTTTGTTTTTCTTTTTGAGACAGAGTCTCGCTTTGTTGCCCAGGCTAGAGTGAGTGCCATGGCATCCGCCTAGCTCACAGCAACCTCAAACTCCTGGGCTCAAGCAATCCTCCTGCCTCAGCCTCCCAAGTAGCTGGGACTACAGGGATGCACCACCATGCCCGGCTAATTTTTTCTATATATATTAGTTGGCCAATTAATTTCTTTCTATTTATAGTAGAGACAGGGTCTTGCTCTTGCTCAGGCTGGTTTCGAACTCCTGACCTTTAGCAATCCGCCCGCCTGGGCCTCCCAGAGTGCTAGGATTACAGGCGTGAGCCACCGCACCCGGCCTGTGTTCTTGTTTTCAATTTCAACTCCATAACACATAAACTCGTAATAGTGAATTTGCATCCGTCAGTTCAAAACTGCCCTTTTTGAGGGCAACAAGGAAAGAGAGTTGTGGTAAAAATGATGTCTTAGGGCCCTGCGTGGTCTCACCTGTATCCATCCTCAAGACCACTCTGTTCACAAGGAAATGATCTCTGAGAGAAGGTCCATGTGCACCTGATCTGGGGGTACGCTTGAAACCTGACGGAGAAACAGAACTCTTCGTATGGGTCAATTTCATAATCTTCACTTGAATTGGTAGCATTTATAAATCCCTTTTCTGTAAAAAGAAGTGAATTTGTAAATTAGATAATGAGGGTCATACGGAAATATATTGAGAAGATAAGCTTTTATTCATCAGTTTAATGCATGGAAAGTCAGGTGTTGGCAGGCTGCAACACGGTCGGAGTTCACAGTCCAGAGCAAATACAGGAGTCCTACGCCTGGGTCCAACCCTGTGCTCGTAATCTCTTAGAGTCAAGATTCCTTTAAGAACGGAATATAAATAACTGGCTATCTTCCTAGAGAAATGTATAAATAAACCTATAGATTTTGCAGACAATTTCAAGAGGCTAAAAGGCTCCCTACTCCTATGTGCACTCTTGGGGTGCCCTAACAGAGTGTGGAAGCCCCTGCTCTCAGCCAGTACAACTCTGTTGTGACAGGTCCCATAGAAAATAATCTAGAGGCACAAATAAAAGAGCAATCCAGCTAGCAGTATTCACAAGGTTTCCTTATCATTTGCTAAGAGAATCACTGCATTTCTTGGCATTTTTCATTACAGCTAAAGGCTGCACCCCAATCTGAGGTTGCTTAAATGTGGTTATTTTCAAACCCTGCGTAGCCCACTCAGACTTCAATGCATCTAAGGGCTTGTACCATTCTCTCAGTTATCGCTCACTGCACTGGCAGTGGGCTGGTTCTTAGAACAAGTATTTATTAAGTGCCTGTTTGGGGTCAGGCTTCTTGCAAGTTTCTGGGACTAGAAGGATAGAAGGGATTGTCCCCGTCCTTAGGAAGCTTACAGTCTATTGGAGGACAAAAGTCCACCAATGCATGGTCACATCACAATGTGCTATGTACAAAGACAGTGGCATTTCCAGTAGGTCTGGTTTAAGTGGAAAAGGGAGTGGGCAGCTTATCTTTACAAAGCTATTTTAACTCAGTTGTGTGCATTTTTTAGCTTTTTGATAGTAACATTAAATCGAAATCAGAATTTGTATTACACACCTCACATTCCACACTAAAGCAACTAAAAATATGAATAAAGGTTGCGTGGGCAGCCTGCCTTACCCAGGACGGTAACCAGCGCTGATTGACTGGGGTGCTTAGAAGAGGAACAAGTGTAGTATCCAGCGTCGTTTCTTCCCACTGATGATACAAAAGCAAACAGAATCCGTATCATAGTTCTGTTTGCTGAATAGGCACTCATCTCAAAGTAGCTGCCCTAGATTTTAATAAAACAGAGTTTGAATTTAATGTTTGCAACCTGTGCTATTGGCTAATTGTTACTGCACTTTTCAGAACACAAACTGTCCTGTTACCTCCTTGAGGGCTTTGTTTGCTAATTCCCAGGTGAGCCCGAATCTGTGGTTCACATGGACAGCTCTACACCTTATCCACAGGGGTTCCCCCACTTTGAGAAACAATTGTGGCAGCGTGGTCTGAGGAGTTTGACTTAGATCTAGAAGATGAAAAAATCCTGAGTAAGAAAAAGAGTTATTCTCATCACAAAATATATCCCGAACATTCTGAAGAACAAAGATTTTTAGCATCATCTCAAGTGTGCCAAACCACGTCAGTTAAACAATCCTTTAGAGAACGCCTCCTCTTTTACTAAGAATCAGCATTTACGGAATCCATAATAGCACATTTGCGATGGTGTGCAGGAACTACAGATTTTCTGAAATTGAATGATCACCTACGCAGTTACTGTTAGTCCCCGATAGCTTCTAAAGACTAGTCACTGAAAGTGAAAAAGCACAGGACATGGTAGTGTTACCTATCGTGAACAGCTTGGTACACGCCCTGCCCAGTTCGTTTCTTGCGCAGCACCTTATGTCGGCTCCAAACAATTCATAAAGTACCTTTTCCTGCTTCGTAACAACAGCGGGACTTTCTTCTTTACAGCTGCAATTAGAAAGTAGAAGCCATTCGGCTTAACCGGGCTTTAAAATGACAAAAGAATGTGCAGGAGGAGAACAAAGTTCAAGGTTCTAGAGTCAGGTTGAGGGTAACAAAGACAACAGCAGGTCAAGAGACAAGCCCAGCCAGGCGGGGAGGCTCACGCCTGTAATCCTAGCACTCTGGGAGGCCGAGGCGAACGGATCGCTCAAGGTCAGGAGTTCGAAACCAGCCTGAGCAAGAGTGAGACCCCATCTCTACTATAAATAGAAAAATTAATTGGCTAACTAATATCAATAGAAAAATCAGCCGGCTGGTGGGCATGCCTGTAGTCCGCTACTTGGGAGGCTGAGGCAGGAGGATCTCGAGCCCAGGAGTTTGAGGTTGCTGTGAGTAGGCTGACGCCAGGCACTGCCTCTAGCCTGGGCAACAATGTGATACTCTGTCTCAAAAAAAAAAAAAAAAAAAAAAAAGAGACAAGCCCAAATCTGTGGTTTTCGCTAATGCTCATTAGGGAACTAGTTACTCATTAGCTCAACTCATTACCATACCCCTCGTGAGAATTACACAATAAAACACTCGAACATTTTTCACGCGTGGTGACCTCTTTTTGTTGTTGTTGTTTAAAGACAGGGAAAAGAATAGAAGAATTGAGAAAGAAGAGGAAGGAAAGAAGAAAAAGAGAGAGAGAAAGCGTGAGGTGGGCTTTAGTGAAGTTTTCCAAGGCAGGTGTTTTTTCTTTAAAGCACAGAAATATACACCCAGCGAGGGGAGAGGCTGATGTTGCAAAAGTCACCAGAGTTCCCACAGCAAACGGAGAAGGAAAGCCAAGGTGTCAGTACCGAGGGAAGTTGGCCAAGACCCACTCAGTATTGAACGGAGAAACGAGAAAATGGACTTAGGTTCCTAACAGAGTTTCCCTGGCTACCCCTTTCCCAAGGCAGATAATGGTTTTGGAGTTTGCATGGACTCACTCTTCTCTTTACCATTTTCGTCAAGTGTATTATTTTTCTTTGTTTATGTATCTTTCCTTGAGTTACTTTTTTTTTATTATTACAAGACAACAGTAATTAGGGTCATTGTAGAAATTTTGGAAAATACAGAAAAACTCAAAGAAAAGAATTTAAAATTATCCATATTCTCTGTTACCCTGAGATAACAATGGTTACTATTTGGGTGTATATCTTTCCAATCTTTTTTTCTATATACACAGTGCATATACATCTATAATCTCTTTTCTTTTTTTTTTTTTTTGGAGACAGAGTCTCACTGTGTTGCCCAGGCTAGAGTGCCGAAGCAACAGCCTAGCTCACAGCAACCTCAAACTCCTGGGCTCAAGCGATCCTCCTACCTCAGCCTCCAGAAGTAGCTGGGACTATAGGCATGCACCACCATGCCCGGCTAATTTTTTTTTCTATTTTTAGTTGTTTGGCTAATTTCTTCCTATTTATAGTAGAGACAGGTCTCGCTCAGCAATCCTTCCACCTTAGCCTCCCAGAGTGCTAGGATTACAGGTGTAAGCCACTACACCCAGCCTATAAACTATTCTTCTACTTCTAAAATTTGGGATTCATTCCTATCATTCAGTAACCTGATTTTTTACTTTTTCTCCTATTTACTGCAGTGATGCAATCATAGCTCACTGCAGCCTCAAACTTCTGGATTGAAGGGATCTTCCTGCCTAAGCCTCGGGAGTAACTGGGACTACAGATGCACTCCACCGTGCCTGGCTACTTTTTAAATTTTTTTGTAGAGAGGTAGTCTCACTATGTTACCCAGGCTGGTCTCAAACTCCTGGGCTCAAGCCATCCTCCTGCTTTGGTCTCCCAGAGTGCTGGGCTTACAGGTGTGAACCACCATGCCCAGCCCACTTTCCAATAAGAGTTGTTTCGTAAAATTTAATTAGTGCAAATTGCATGAATTCTTACCTTGTGAGAACTTGGCTAGCTATGGCACATATGAAAAACAAAAGTAAACATTTTTTACCACACTTAACTGTCTGCCAGGCACTGTTCAATGTTCTTTGAATATTATCAATCCATTTAATCATCACAGCAATCCTTAAGGTAAGTACTTATTACCATCCCCATTCTTCTGATGAAGCACAGAGAGGTTAAGCAACTTGTCCAAAGGCACACTGCAAACAAGGGTTCAACCCAGGCTATCTGGCTCTAGATTCTCTATCCTTAAATAATCCTATTAGACTACTTCTCCGGACAAATGGAATAGTCCCAAATTAAACATTTAGTCTCAGGAAATTTCTGACTTAGAATTACACTTTAAAATCAGTATCTTTCTATTTTTCCCCAGCAAGATTCTCAGGAAGCCAACAAACCTGCAACTTAAAAGGACTTTTATTTGTGTAGTGCAATGCCCAGGGAAGACCCTGCCGTTGATTTGAGGAATTCCAAAATGCCCCTTACTAAAAAAAAAAAAAATCCCCCATCCTCCTCCCTGGGAACCCCATAGTAGTCACTTTAAGTTTAAAAAGCCCAACTTTCCTGTTTAAACGGGGATAAATTAAATTTTACATACAGTATGACATCAACTATGTTAGAAAAAGACCAAAAGGAAATAATAATAATAGCAGTTACCTTTATACAATGCCATACCTTTCACCCTGCGAATTGCACAACACCCATTCCACGGTCGGTTCTGGAACACTCTCAGATATGCAGACCAGGGCGTCCTGATTTTCCATTTTTCTAAAGTAAGGTCTTCGTAATGTGTAAAGCAGTCTATCTAAAGCATCATAAATTATTAACATTTTAATATTTTGAGAATAATTCTCTTAGCAGCCCCCTCAGAAAAGGATCCTACAGCATTAAGAAAAGTTATATTTTATACCACAGCAGTGTCTCTGCTCCCAACCAACCACTGTATTAAATTCAACTCTGGCTGCAACACCAACTTTAGCATTTATCCTCGTGGCCAATTTCTTTGGGTATTTCACAAACCCACAGATAACTAAAGTAAGCGGAGTGACGTCATGTGAAAATGCAAACACTGATATGCATAAGAAAAAGAAAACTAGCAATAACGTATAGCTTAAAACCTTTATTGAACATATAGTTTAAAACTCAACTTTCTTCCCCTAATTTGATCTGGAGCTAGGCAGAAATAGAAATGCAGATATACAGTAGGATGGAGTTAGAACTGGAACAGAATTTAGAGGCTAGTTGAGCCTCCCGTTCACACCGGACACACACACACACCACGCGCACAATCGCTCACTAGCTCACACACACTCCCCACCCTCCGCTCCCAGCCATGCCGGACACATAAACTTTCTACTTCTGCGTGGACTTCTCTAGGGACTGGAGTTCACGACATCCCAGGCAGGTCATTCTAATTTTTTGACAAACTTTTTTTTTTTTTTAAGTTTCCCTATACTGAATTCTAATCTCTCTCCTTTTAAAGAAAGTTTCCCTATACTGGATTTCAATCTCTCTCCTTACAATAAATTTTGTTTTAAATTATTACATAATGTTTGGTATATATATATATATATGAAAGAATATATGAAGTGTGAATTTCAAAGCATATTAACAACAAATGCCCATAGACCCACTATCCAACTTAATATTGATAAATATCTTTTTTGTGTGTGTGTGAGACTAGGTCTCACTAGACTGGAGTGCAGTGGCTATTCACAAGCACAATTGCAGCTCACTGCAGCCTCAAACTCCTGGTCTCAAGTGATCCTCCAGCCTCAGCCTCCTGAGTAGCTAGGACTATAGGCATGTACCACTGTGCCCAGCTAATAAATACCTTTTAATCTACTTTTGTGCTTCTCCCCATTTCTCAACCCTAGGTAACCTTTATCCTAAACTCTGTGCTTATTATTTATTCTTGCATTCTTTAAAATAGTTTTCCCACAAATATATGTATACCTAAACAACATATTGATTTATTTTGTTCTTCAGCTTCAAAGTATAGTATCACTCAATACGTAACTTCCATAGCTTCATTGTTTCATCCAACTTATTTTTTATTTTTTTTTGACACAGAGTCTCACTTTGTTGCCCAGGCTAGAGTGAGTGCCGTGGCATCAGCCTCACTCACAGCAACCTCAAAGTCCTGGGCTCAAGTAATCCTACTGCCTCAGCCTCCCGAGTAGCTGGGACTACGTAGAGGCATGCACCACCATGCCCAGCTAATTTTTTCTATATACTTTTAGTTGGCCAATTAATTTCTTTCTATTATTAGTAGAGACGGGGTCTTGCTCTTGCTCAGGCTGGTTTTGAACTCCTGACCTTGATTGATCCACCCACGTCAGCCTCCCAGAGTGCTAGGATTACAGGCGTGAGCCACCACGCCTGGCCCAACCTATGTTTTTAAGATTCATTCATAGTTTTACTCATAGCTATACTTTACTCATTTTTTATTGCTATATAGTATTCCACTTGTAAATATATCATAATCAATTTTTTCATTGTTTTGCAGTGGACATTTGGGTTGTTTCCAGGTTTTTTCCAAGTTTTTTGTATTATCAATCATTATGCTATGAACATTCCATACATTTCTACTGAGGCATGTATATAAGAGTTTCTTTAATAATATACCTTATACATGCCAGTTTACATGGTATGAGCACGTTCAGTTTTACATATAAAGGCAATTTGTTTTCCATAGTGGTTATGCTAATTTACATTTACACAGCAGGATATGAGAGCACCTATATACTTACCAAGACTTCTTAATTTTCAACATTCTAGTAGTTATAAAATGGTACCTCATTGTGGTCTCAATTTGATTTATCAATTATTAATTTAACATGTTTTAAATGTTTTAAATCATTAATTGGGAGTCCATTAGGCTGAGATAGCACTAGTCCCTTGAGTTCCTACATAAGCAAACCCAAACCCAACTCAGTGTAAGTAGTAAAATGAAACTTCAGTTTAATCAATTAGAAACTGCCAACTAACCTCTAACTAGGGACTTTCCACTTTACCCAATCAAATATTTTGTCTTGCTTCTGTGAACACCTTATAAAAGTTTTCCCCTCACATCTCCTCAGTGGCGCCCAACTGCTAACTGTCTGGCACTACCAGATTCATGATAAATAAACTCTAAAATTTTAATGTGCCTAAGTTATCTTTTAACCTATGTTTATCAACCATTTGGGTTTCATGTTCTGAAAATGAAATGCCTACTCATGTCCTTTGTTCATTTTTCTACTAAGTTTTTGTTTTGTTTTTTCTTATTGATTTACAGGAGCTCTTTATATATTATGACTATTAACCCTTTGTTGATTGTGAACTGCTAGTATCTTTTCCCATCTCGTGGTGGTTTTTACTTTTTCTCCATGTCTACCCATTGATTCTGATTGTATGTTCTAGAGCAATTTACTTTTAAAAGTCTAGCTTTGCTTCTGCATGAAAATCCTTCGACTATTTAAAATCAGAAACCAAGGCCGAGGGAGATAATTACTATCCAAGGGTATTTTAACTAGTCGGCCCAGGTTTCCTGACTGAAATCCCAGAAGAATTTCCCCCACATGACACTGCAGTCAGTCTTCTCCTCTTTTCAAAATAAGCTGCTTCTCTATGCTAAACATTCCCAATTCCTTCAGCTGCTCCTAATTTAAGGAATTCCAAGTTCTTCGATATACTGATTGCTCTACTTTGTCAGTATGTATCTGAAAAAAAATATATAGTACTGAAAATAACAATCTCCATTAATTTCCTTCATGTCAATGTTACATTTTCATGAACAATGCCAAGGCTCAAATTTACTTTTTTTTAGCACCCAGGCCAAACCGTTGGTTAATACAGAGCTTGTGGTTAGCTAAACCCTTTCCTCTTTTTCACAGTGACTGTTGCCAAGTCTCTCCCACCTCTTTTTCTGGACCTCAACACCCGGCGGAATGTTTGTTAAAAGCATGTTACAATTTACTTAAATGATTGCTGTTACGTTTTTACACTGCAAATCTTAAGTTGAAGAAGAGACCCTAAATGTAACAGAGGCACCGTGGATGCCCACTTACCTTACACAACTGTAGACGCCTGGGAAGACAGAGAGGGAGAGACAGCAGGAGACAGGGGCGAGAGGGAGAAAGCAAGAACTGTCTTCTCCAACCCGGGGCGCACACTTAACTGTCCCACAGAGCCGGTGCGGGACTGGGAACGGGACAGGGAACAAGACCAAAATCAAAGGGCAACAATAGGTTAACTCTTGGCTTTTTGTGCTTCTAGGGCTCTGGTCCTACCAATTTCAGGGTAATTAGAGGGCTTTCCAGAACAAATCTTGACAAATTTTGACTTCGCCTGATGTTCACCTTACAGGCTGGCTTTAGAACCTAATGCCCCCAACCCCAACCCCAGTAAGATGACACACTTCTGGGAATCTAAAGTGCTGTCTTCTGTTAGTGTGACAGCTTTTATGGCAAGCCCCTGCACCCTCACACCAGGCCCCACGTGCGGTGCGGTGCACAAAGAGCAGACCCCTCAAATGGGCCTCCAGCTGTGCCCATTGCCGCCCCTCCCAGAGCGCCCCTTTCCTAGCCCGCGTCAGTGCAGGGTCACCGTGAGCGCCTGAGACGACACAAGCGGACTATCTCGGCAAAGGGAAGTTGCGGCTGTTCCTGACCCGGGGCACCTCTGTGGGCTGGACACACATGCTTTGTGTATTTGAGTCACAGGCAAAGATTAGGGGAATCTGGCAAGTTGCACAAACGTGTAGCCAGGGAACGTAATTTAAAGTGGTTTCAACTCAGGGATTTTGGGGCGCTTCGCTGGCCCGAGTGCAATCACGTATGTCTAAGACAGGAGGACATAGGTGACTGCAGCCACTGTCAGTCCTTGTCAGTCAGGGGAGGCAAAGCCACGGCATGCACATGTCAGTGCGTGGTGAAGACGAAACAAGGAGAGGCCAGACAGTGCACGCAGGTGGTGACTCCGCCAGCCGCACAGCTGCCTCCCTTGGTAACGGCACTCGGACTGCTCTTTACCCTGCGCGCACAGTCTGGCATTTGCACAGACCTGCACTGTCCACTACAGCAGCCACTAGCTACCTGTGACTATTTAAACTCAAATGTCAGTTAATTAAAATTAAATAAAACTAAAAGGTTGCCCTAGCCACATTTCAAGTGCTCAATGGCTCCACGTGGCCAAATGAATGGCACGAGGCAGACAAAGAACATTTTCATCCTTCCAGAAAATTCTATCGAATTGTGCTGAGACCTTAAAATCCTGTCGGATAGATATTTTTACCCCCCATTGAGACTCAGAGAGATTAAGTGGCCCGCCAAAAGGGGTGGTAGGATCAGAACCAGAATTCGAACCCAGGTCTTCTGACTCCAAGGTCAAAATGTTTTCCATTTCTTCCCTGTCAGCCATCTGCTACTGAAAAAATGAGGGACCTGAATAGGGGCATATGTCCCAGGTTTTTTAACAGCACTCACATTCTGAGAGGCCACAGGACACGTCAGAGTCTCAGTTCTCTATAGGTTGTAGGGATGGTTGGAGCGAATGTAACCAGGTAACTGCATAGTGAGGGAGATCTGAATATTGGTCTAGAGGAGCTGGTCCAAGCTGTTGGGCTGTAAACCACTCCGCTGGAATACTGTGGTATTCCAGGCTGGAATACTAGTAGCAGGCTGGACTTACTTCTTATACTCACTGTAAACAATATTGTGTAATTGGTAGCTTCACTCTGAATAAAAAGTAGGTATTCTCCAGCTTGGGTTTCTGTCATTTTCAAAATGACCATGGAAACAACTCCCCTGCAAAACAGGAAAGAGAACTAGTTATTTTGGAAAATGCGCGAAACTAAAAACAAAATTTCATACTGACTAAGAAGGCGGTTCGGTGGCTCCCGTCGTCCTGACCGGCCCGGAGGGTGGCTCTGTGGAGAGCACGGCCTCCCTCGTGTGCGAGGCGCAGCCTGAGCGGCAGCAGGTGGACCTGACTCTGAACCAGCCCCTCCTCTGAGAGCCAGGGAGTTCGGTTCCTGCGCCATCAACTCTCGTTCCCTGAGCTTCTAGGAGGAAAACTCCCGCCAAAAATGCATGGCCTAGGCCGGGCTGGTGGCTCACGCCTGTAATCCTAGCACTTTGGGAGGCCGAGGCGGGAGGATGGCTCAAGGTCAGGAGTTCGAAACCAGCCTGAGCGAGACCCCGTCTCTACCAAAAACAGAAATAAATTAATTGACCAACTAAAAAAATATATATACAAAAAATTAGCCAGGCATGGTGGCGCATGCCTGTAGTCCCAGCTACTCGGGAGGCTGAGGCAGTAGGATCGCTGAGACCCGGAGATCGAGGTTGCTGTGAAACAGGCTGACGCCACAGCACTCACTCTAGCCTGGGCAACAAAGTGAGACTCTGTCTCAAAAAAAAAAAAAAAATGCACGGCCTCGGTGGCGTACTCCCACTGGCTGTGGCATGCCACGCCCTTCCATGCCGAAGCACCCTCCGTGATCGTGCGTGCCCAGTCACCTAGCCGCCTGGTCACCAGCCTCAGCTTCCCACTCACAGAACTAGATGACTGTACAAGTGAGACAGACTGAGATTTAAAATGTTCTGGTTTGTGCCTCTCTCTCACTAAATGAAAACACTCAAGCAAAATCTGACACAAGGCATTTTCCTATGAAGTGATAATTACACCGAATACCACACAGATACGAGGAGAAAGGTGTCTCAGTGTTAGTATTTTTAACTTTTCAGACAATTGATAAAGGTAAACTTGGCTAGGGGCATTCTCTTCGAAGAGATAAATTTGATGTGTATTTGGTGCTACCCACTCTGATTAAAGCTTAAAGTAGTCCGAGCAGTTTGCTGAGTGATGTTGGATTTAAAGTCACAATTTCTGACCTTTGGGCCTTTAATTGCTCCCAATGTGATCTTTCTCCAGTGATGTGAGCATCAGCTGGGAGTTGGCAAACATGCAGAATCTTGGGCTCCACTTAGACCTACTGCATCAGAATCTGCATTTTAACAGGATCCCCCAGAGGATCCAAATGCACATTATATTCAAAAAGCCCTGCTTAGAACATCAAATTGGTTTAAGAATACACGTATTTGCATTCACAGAGACAATAAATTAGTAGGACGCATAGTAAAATGAATTTTTGACTTGCTTCTGCAGATTTATTTTGGTGACACGCTTTCTCTGAACCGTTCATTCTCCTAGTACCATTTGTGAACTCTTGAAAACTTAGGTGTTCAACCATTCTGCCTACAAGTCAGAGTCCAGACATAAATTTCAATACTTCTCAGTGAAAAGTCACTAAATGTCTTGCTACTAAGTTAACTAACCCATATGAAAACTATAATGTTGGCTAAGCAACTGGTACGGAGTAAAAAGAACTGTACTTTTCTACTTTGTGTTCTGGTCTCAATCTGGTGAAAAACGTTGTGGTGTAACATTTTAATACCATTACCAGAACATGTCTTTAACTTTAAGCCAAAATTCTTAATAGCAGAGTGCTTGGATTTAATCTCAAGATAAAAGTAACCAAAAAAAAAAAAAAAAAAAAACAGAAGTGAGTAATACAATCTCAAAAGAGGAATGGAAAATAAACATGTTCCAAGATTTAGAACTAGACTTCAGAATTATACCCACTGCCCTGAAGATTACTTAAGAATCTATCTGACCTTAAAGAACAAATACAAATAAGTGGTATAAGTCAGTCAGAGATGTTCTCCAGTACCTCTGTCAAGGGGCATGGTCCCCCTTTCAGGCCATTAGGGTACCATTTACGGCATTGCTCCTGGAAAGATAATGCCTTCTCTACAGATCTGGGATAACAGAACACCACTAAGAATTAAAAAGAAGGGCAGCCGGGTGCGGTGGCTCACGCCTATAATCCTAGCACTTTGGGAGGCCGAGGCGGGCAGATTGCTCAAGGTCAGGAGTTGGAAACCAGCCTGAGCGAGACCCCGTCTCTACCAAAAATAGAAATAAATTAATTGACCAACTAAAAATATATATATAAAAAATTAGCCGGGCATGGTGGCACATGCCTGTAGTCCCAGCTACTCGGGAGGCTGAGGCAGGAGGATCACTGAGCCCCGGAGATTGAGGTCGCTGTGAGCCAGGCTGACGCCACAGCACTCACTCTAGCCTGGGCAAGAAAGTGAGACTCTGTCTCAAAAAAAAAAAAAAAAAAAAGAAGGGCAGCCTTAGAACCATTAAGCGGATTTTTTTTTTCCAGAGATAGGAATCTCACTATGTTGCCCAGGCCATACTCAAACCCTGGGCTCAAGTGATGCCCCCACCTCAGCCTCCTAAGTAGCTGGGAATACAGGTGAGTACCACTGCATCCAGCTAAATGGCCTCTGTCTGGTCTGGTCTCAGCAAGAGGACAAGGACAGCAGATGGCAGCAATCAGCATAGAGTTTGAGTCTGGTCATTATCCACAAATCTTGGCTAAGATATTTTTCTGGTTAATGAGATCAATGTTCCTTATAGACCTGCAATCCCCAACTTTCAGGCAGAGGACTGGTAGCGGTCCTGTTAGGAGCTGGGCTGCACAGCAGGAGGCGAGCAATGGGGAAGCCGGCAAAGCTTCATCTTAATATACAGCCGCTCCCCATCGCTCACTTCAAGGCCTGAGCCCCGCCTCCTGTCAGATCAGCAGCAGCATTGGATTCTCAAAGGAGCGCGAACCCTACTGTAAACTGAGCATGCGCAAGGGATCTGAGTAGCGGCTCCCTATGAGAATCTACTGCCTGGTGATCTGGGGTGCAGCTGAGGCGGTGATGCCAGCGCTGGGGAGCGGCTGCAAATGCAGATTATCATTAGCAGAGAGGTCTGACTGCACAATAAATGCAATGCGCTTGAATCATCCTGAAACCACCCCCACCCCTGCCCCGTCTGTCCATGGAAAAATTGTCTTCCATGAAACCAGTCTCTGGTGCCAAAAATGTTGAGGACCAATGCTACAGACAGGTCAACATCTTACTAAAATATTTTGTAGATACCAAATAACATTGTAATTCTGCTTATTATATTGCAGAACAAAATAGATAAAACCAAATGTTCTTTGTCCATCCATTTCCTAGACAGAAATTTCTTGATATTTAACTAGAATGAAATGAAAATTTTCTGACCTTTTATCTGTAACACGATATCCAATTAAAAAACAAGACATTTTAAAAATCCCAAATATTCTTTTTGCTATTTGTTTTACATTTTGCCAGCCACTCACTGCTTTCTATATACTTATAATTTTTTATTTATAAAATTGTATAAATTAATAGAATTTATTTTTTAAGGTAGCTTTAGATTTACAGAAAAATTCAGTGGAAAGCACAAGGACATCCCATATGTGCCCTTCTCTCCACATACAGAGCTTGTCTAATTATTAACATATTGCATAGGCATGATATATTTGTTATAATTGATGAGCCAACATTGATACATTATTAATTTAAGTTCGCAGTTTATATTGGAGTTCACTTTTTGTGTCCTACATCCTATGGAATTGGACAGATCTGTAACGTCATGTGTTCATGCCCTGACTATATTTTTAATTCATTATTTCACTAGAGATAAGAGTTACAACAAACATGGATAGAAACTTGGAAAGGAATTGCAAATGGACGACGTTAAATGCAACAAAGTACTCCTCCAAAAATTCTAGGGGTTGCACATCCTCCTTCTCTTACCTGTTTTGTAAGTCAAAGTGTGGCTGGCAATTCAGGGAGTTGTGCTTAAACACCCAGAGACAAGAGATGTTCCCTGGCGTGTTGACCAGCACCTGCAGCGTGACGGATGCCAGCACATCCACTTCCACCGTGGCCGCTTCGTACACTGTCCCTGCGCTCCTCGATCGCAAAGCACACCCAAGGTCTTCTGGGGATCCTGACACCTACATCGTAGACAGAACAACGTGGATTCATGACAATTGTGTGTTGAGTGCATTCCCTTCAAATGCATGCATGCTGACATACTAGTGCATTCCCTTCAAATGCATGCATGCTGACATACTACACACAACACCTGAACATGCTTTAACCCATTGAGAACACATGGCTAACTGGAAATCCTACTAATTATAACTCTCTAAAGAAAAGATAAATAGCGTTAGGCTGCATTTCTAAAATGCCGAATGGACTGTTAGGGGTTGAGTTTTGTCCTCCTCCTCCAAATTCATACATTAAGGTCCTAACCCTCAGTAGCTCAGAATGTGACTTTCTTTGGAGAGAGGGTCTTTACAGGTCAGGTTTCAATGAGGTCATTAGAGTGAGCTTTAATCCAATATGACTGGTAGCCTGATAAGAAGGGGAGATTTTTGAGACAGGCACACATGCAGGGAGAACGCCATGTGAACAAGAAGACAGCCATCTGCACGCCAAGAAGACAGGCCAGGAACAGATGCCCTCTCACAGCCCTTGGAAGGAACCAACCCTGCCAACATCTTAACTTTGGACTTCTAGACTCCAGAATTGTGAGACAATCAATTTTTGTTATTTAAATCACTCAGTCTGTGATACTTTGTTACATCAGCCCTAGCAAATTAATGTATAGACAATAATTATAAAATTCATAATACACAGTAAATATTTTTATGATTATTGACATATAGATAAGAATCTATATAGGAATGATAAATTGGTATCTGTGTGAGAGAAATTTTAAAAACCGAATTTTCTTTGCCATGTATGGTGGTTCACACGTGTAATCCTAGTACTCTGGGAAGCTGAGGCGGGAGAATCATTTGAGGTCAGGAGTTTGAGTCCAGCCTGAGCAAGAGTGAGACCCCGTCTCTACTAAAAGTAGGAAAAATTAGCCAGGTATGGTGGTCGTGTCGCGTCGCGTAGTCCCAGCTACTCAGCGAGGCTGAGCGCAGGAGGGATCGGCTTGAGCCCAGGAGTTCTTGAGGGTCGCTGTGCTAGGGCTGATGCCATCGGCACTCTAGCCCCTCGCTGATATGAGGTGAGACTCTGTCTCAAAAAAATAAAAACCAAATTTTTCTGGACATGTGTCGCACTAGGACTCCTTCGCATGACTGTAACTCGCGAAGGGGATGATCGAACGAACACGAATTAACCTAAGTACACTTTGAAAATAACATCTAATATTATCAGGCTAAAACCAAAAAGTCACGCTCGTACACAACATACTGTATTTCTTAGTGCTGTAAATCTAATTTCTCACTGTGGTGACACGTTGGCCAATCTCTAACAAGTACGTTTATCCCTAATATCCACTACCATGCCTAGTCTCCGTCTGCTGAGAAGAAACATAAAGAACAACACCCCTGACCCGCCCACAGCAGACAATGAGCACCAACAGACTACATACAGACACAATCAGCTTTTCCTAACATACCATACCAAACAACAGAGATGAATCATATGATAAAAAAGATTCCTTAAATACACAACGGAGCCTACAGGCAAAAGGCAAAATACACACGAGAATAGAAGCCTGACAACATCTTGCAGTGGGTCCACAGAGATAAAAAAAGGGCTTGAGAAAAAATGGGGACATGTTGGCCAGGCGCAGTGCGCTCCGCCTGTACATCCACCCTAGACACTGCCTGGGAAAAGAAAAAAAACCCAAGCAGGAAGGAATTAGATAATACCAGGCTTACGGAGCTTCGCAACACGCAGCCTGCAGCAACGGCGCAGAACCCCATACTACTATAAACAAAAGAAAAACAAGAATTCAATTGGCCAACTATACTATACGCGGAGAAAACATTGCCAGCAGGTGGCGCATGTTTCTGTAAGTCAGCTACTAAGGGAGAGAAAACTGAGGCAGAAGGATTGGGCTTGAGCCAGGAGTTTAAGGTTGCTGTGAGCTAGGCTGACGCCACGGCACTCACTCTAGACTGGGCAACAAAGCAAGACTCTGTCTCCAAAAAAAACCCCAAAAAACATGGGGACATGTTGAAAGGACAGAGAAACCAAACTGAAGCAGTTCACGATGGCCACAGCTGGAACAATGTGAGCAACAAAATAAATAATGGTAGCAATAAATAATAATAGTTATAACACATAGGATAAAATAAATATCCATGCGCTCATACCGATATAAATAAATAGTGGACTAAATTTTTAAAAAATGGAGGAGAAGAGACAGGCCTTCCTCAGAAGAATTCCAATTAAAGACACAAGGAATAAAGGAAAAACGAAAGCACCATTAGGCAAACACCACGGTAATAAGTGTAGGCAAGGTCCAGTGGATGCTAAAATCAGTAGGTGAAAATTGGAGGAGAAACAGGATATTTGCATCTCCCCTAAGATATTTATTACAAGGGAAAAAAAACAGCAACTTCACAGTGGAGAAAGTTGGCACACACCATCTTACTCTAATGAGACTGAGTGATATCCTCTAACTCCTAATATGACATGCTGGGAAGGACACGACATTACTTCTGGGAAATTCTTGCCCAAAATGCATAATTTCAATCTCATTATGAAACATCAGACAAACTCAAACTGAGTGATAATCTATACAACGGCTGTCCGGTACTTTTCTAAAAGTCAGGGTCATGGAAGATAAGGAAAGACCGAGGAACTGTCACAGCCTGACAGAGGGTAAAGAGACGTGACAGCTAAATGCAATGCAAGAGATCTCAGATGGGATCCTAGAACAGAAAAAGGCCATTTAGTGGAAAACCTGGTGAAATTTGAATTAGGCCTGTAGTTCAGTTAATTTCCTGGTTTTGGTCATTGCACTGTGGTTATGTAAGATGTTAACATTAGGGGAAGTATATAGAAATTCTGTTTTTTATTTTTGAACTGACAAATAAAAAATTGTATGTATTTATGGTGTACAATGTGATGTTTTGATATAGGTATACAATGTGGAATGATTAAATCAAGCTAATTAACATATCCATCAAGTTACATTTTTTTGTGACATGAACATTTATTTATTTATTTATTTTTCTTGAGACAGAGTCTCGCTCTGTCGCCCAGGCTACAGTGCAGTACCACCAGCCTAGCTCACAGCAACCTCAAACTCCTAGCTCAAAGGATCCTCCTGCCTCAGCCTCCCAGGTAGCTGGGACTACCTAAAATATTAATACAAAATAATTAGCCGGCATGGTGGTGCATGCCTGTAATCCCCAGGAGGCTGAGGCAGGAGGATCACTTGAGCCCAGGAGTTTGAGGTGGCTTGAGCTAGGCTGACGGCCATGGGCACTTACTCTA